TTTTGTGCACTGGGGCTTTGAGATGGCTCAAACACCATTTTCCACTGCCTCTCCAGCTTAAAATGTAGGCTCCAAAGTGGCTTATTTGAAGAAAGGCGGAAGCTGCTTGCTCTCCAAAATACTAATATTAACCTAATCCTCTTAGAGACAAGTCAAAATCTATGCCTGATGGTATCAGGCCTCAACTAAAGGGAATAGACAAGAGGGCATCTGCTTTCCCATTGTAGAAGGTTAAGGAGTGCCTGTTTAGCACTTATACTGCAGACATACATACACAGAAAACTGTAAAGCGTTCAAAGTCTAACGCTTTGGGCACTAAAAAATAAATAAATAAATTGCTTTAACTAACTCTTTGGAGAAACTCTGGGTCTTGCTCTTGACCTATACGAACTTCTGGGTAGAAGTCTTCTGGTAGATGTCTGGCAGACTGTGCCTGTGCTCCAAAATGCCCACCCTCCAGCACTGAAAGGCTACTTAAGAGTACCACACAAAAATGCGTTTTACACTCTTAAACAATGTTTGTCCCACTTAAGAACAGGAGTTGTGTGTGGAAGAAACCAAAAACACAAGCTTCACACTTTCAACTTACCTCACAATTTTCACTGAGTAGCAAACAGATCCACATGAGATGGCTTAAGAGACTCTTTCAAGAGAGCTTTCCCCTTTCTTCCGAGTTCCTGCCACTACCTTCTCTACAACTATGAGCCATAGCAGAGAAGCCCAGCAAAATAGAAGCTGTGAGCACAAGGCAGCTGCTGCATATTGCCCTCTATCCACTGTCACTCCTGAATTGTACTCAGGAACTGTACAATTTCACTGTCATACTCATGCAATGTGAGTCTTTGCTGCACTATTTTCCTCTTTTTGGTGTTAAGCAATGATGCTGACAACCAAGAAGAACCAACGCTATGAAGGGTAAAGCTTTTTATACTTTAAAAAGTATATAAATTCAATATACGTAAAGAAAACTATAAAATTATAGATATAAAAAAGTGTAAAAATAATTGCTCCATTTCCAGGAGCAATAACACTCTTTGAGCAGCAGATCCATCAGGTGTAATTGTGCATTATGGGTTACGTGAAATAGATCATTCTCTTTCACATTTACTTACCTAATGGTGCTCATGTACATTATTCATACATACAGGATAATCTTGCTCCAAGAGCTGCACACATTAATAAATGTAACCATCTTCAGTTGCAGAGATTTCTGCTCCTTATTGGTGTGTATTTTCAACTGAAATCACTCTACTCAGTTCCTGACCGCAGACAAAATATTTAGGTTTTTTTTCCACATTATTATTTTTGAATAAGCATTTTAATTATTTCACATTTAATTAAATATCCCTGAAACACCCACTTTTTGAGAACAAGAGGATGTAACTCTTGAGTTAGAGAGCCATACAGAAAAGCATGTCCAAATCCTGGGCGTTAATGAGAACCATTGTGGAGTATATCCAAAAGTACAGTTTAGACGCAGACAACTTCTTGCTACTGCTTTTTAAGGAGTGGCTATCATACCAATTGCTGTGATTTTTTTGTTTTGTCAGCGCACCTAAAATAATCTAACCAACAGAAACCAGTAACGTGTTTGTGACAGATTTAGCTAAAAGGGCAGAAGCTTAAGAGTAGTTTTTTATTTCAGATTTTTATTAGCTGAAGTTCAAATCCCACTAAATCACACAAAATGAACCAACCAAAACTCCCCCTGCATCTCCATACATATTTAGCAAAATCAATGTGTGGAAAGGTCTTTAGGAGTTGAGAGATAACTCACCTCATCACAAAACAAAACACAGGGAAAAACTGTCAGAACAATGTATTGGATGCCATTAGGATCCCCCTAAAGTCAGAATTCTACATCTGCCACTACAGAAAGTATTATTTGTGCTTCTTACCTAAGATAATAGCTTCCTATTCATATTAGACATTATGCAACATAATACAACATTTTCCTGCGCTGTGGGACTTTATCTCCTGCTGAACAAGACTCTAGTTAGCACCTCTCAAATCAAACATTTTTGCACCATTTTTGAAAGACACACTGAATATCAGCACAGCTAAATTTTTATATTTTCAGGCTCCTGAGCCAAATTCCCACTTTTCCGGCTTTTGCTCGCTTCAGTATATTATCGTTCTACCAAAACCGTCCCTACAACGCACCTCAGGGAGATAAGAAAAGGAACTGTGAACATTTCAAGTTATTCCATCTGTGAAACAATACATTCAGAAGTATTTATTAAATGCTACTCCCTATTCCTCATACTAACACAGCTAGAGTATTGCTTTGGACATCAGCCGCAGCCTCTTGTCAAATAAACTAAAAACACAACACTTAAAAGGTAGAAATTAAACAGCAGGAAGTGCCATGTTTCTCGAAGAATATTCATATTGCTAGGTGAATTTTGGTGCATACAAATCAAGTTTTTAAAGCAACCAAATGCCTATTGTACCTAAGACAACAGAAATGGCCATCTTAAAAGAGTGTCTTGCAGCAGACAAATTCAAATTCATTTTTCTGTAATTTTTTTAAGCAATGCCTTCCAATAACTTGTCTAACCATTGCACCATCCATGGCTCCCTGCCTAGAGGGAAAGAAAATTATCCTAGAAAACAGCCACGATTCTGCAGGTCTGCTTACTAAGGCATGTTCAGAGGAAAGCACACTGATCAGAAAAACAAAAACAAAAAAACCCATAAACTTCTGGGACACGCTGATACAGGCAGTCAATTCCAACCAAGTTTCCCAACAAACTCTTAAGAGTCTTGCTCAGTAACAAATATCCCTATTTGTTCACCATCTGCAGCAGTACTGCCATCCAAATGAGGTGGAAAACTCATCACAGCTCCTATTTGTGCTCATCTACTGTTGAGCTTCTCTCAAAAACAAACAACCCACTGACTTGGACAGAGAGTAAAACAACTTCCAATAAACTCAGTGTGCAGAAGCTGCTATATAGAAAGGTTTCAATTAAATTCTAAAGGTCAAGATGGCTTTACTACTTACCACCTACAGGAAGCAGAAACATCTTCCTACTCTCCCTTTAAGTGAGATATGCAAAAGGGTGAGATTTTCACCAGTTAACTTTGAAGCTGCCAGTTTACATCACATAAATTGCTGATGACTCAAAACACTGATTTTGTCTTCTTTCTAAACACAAAGAGTTTCTAAGCAAATGTAGATAGAAACTCAAATGTGACCAGAATATAAATTTCTTTCTTTTCTTTTTTTTTTTACTATGTTGATTTCCTTTTCAAACTTCAGAAGCAGTCTAAATCAATCCTGCAGCATTCCATATACTACAAGAATAGCTTTAAAAAAAGTATTCATTCGTACTTCACATAATCACAGAACATTTGAGGTTGAAAGGGACCTCAAGAGCTAAGGACACCTAGAACATGTTGTGCAGCATCCCATCCAAGTATTTTATTTCCAAAGAAGGAGACTCCAAAACCTCCCTGGGCAGTCTGTTCCCGTTCTGTGTCACCCTAGGAAGTTCCTCATATGGAAATAAAACCTCCTGTGTTACCATTTGTATCTGTTACTCCTTCTGTCACCGACCAACACTGAAAACAAACATTCTGACTTTTATTATATGACCACATCCTTTAAAAGATGGCTACATAGTGGCTTTTTGTGAAGGGGGGGACTTAAGCCAAGTATAGCCCATAGTTCCAGTGACAAAAGAACTCTTCACTATTTGAAAACAGCTACAGGTTCATTAAAACCATATTCAAGTCACTCCATCTGGGAGCAATTTTGTGCATCGTATAACACTTCAGTTAAGCATTGCTACACCTACAGACTCTGCCTGTAACTATTTGTGAATAAAGATTATTTCAAACATGACTTTCTGAAAGTAGATACTAATTCATGTTAGAATTCTAACTTCCAGGACATTTCTCAGATTGGCACTGAACACTAGTTGTAAAGACAAGTTATTAATACCTACATACATGTAAAAATATTTTTAAATATTTTTATTCTCACCAAGGCAGAACATGCAGCAAATAAAAATGCAGGTGCACATACACCTCAAACTACTGAGTCCCAAGATTACAACTCTTGTTTTCAAGAGCACAACATATTTTAGTAAAAAAATCATGGTGGATAAACAAAAAGCAGTCCCCCATGAGCTATGGGGCTATCTCCATGAGCACATCCCACATTTAAAGATAAAAAAATAAAGTAACAATGGCTTAGTTCTTAGTTCCAAAGTTCTAACGGAAGTAAAAAAAAAGTCCATAAGCTTAATGCTTCCCTGTGTTCATTAACTCCAATATGCATTAAATAATTCTCCTCGCACAACCTTACTTTTGTCAAAAACACCCATACTTCATTTTTCATGTTCTTTGCACCAAAAATATTACCTAGAGGGATGAGAAATATACATTTAACAGTTTTATTATGTTAAAATGTATCTTAACTTGAAAGACAAAACTGCAGTCATTATTTTATTTTGATGTTAGTTTATCCCAAATTACCTGATGAGTCACGTGTCATTCTATACGCAGAACCAACTACAATACTAAATGCACTTGCAGAAATGTGGAATTAATTATGCTGGGATATATGTGGAATTAATTATGCTGGAATATGTGGCAGAATGCAACTCTATAAATAGCCATGTGGAACTTAAACCTCGGCAGCTCAAATACAATGAAAGCTTTTCAACTCAATTTTCAGTGTTTGGGATAAATATAACAGAGAATGTACAATATAAAAGAAATAAGTAATCTAATGTCTTTGCCAACATATCAAGTCACAGAATCATTCATTTTCAATTTTCATCACAAATGTTTGCAAGTTAGGCAAAATAAATACTACCTTTATATTGCTTCCTATACGAGCATGGCTACTAAGATGAAACAGCCAAAAACTCTAGCTTTCTGAACATAATCAAGAGACAATCAAAAAAAAAATTCTCCTTTGTAGGTGTTTTAACTTATGAACCAATTGTGAAACCCCAGCATGAGAGGCAAAAAAGAAATTCCATTACACTGCAATAAACACAGGAGTTCGAGTCACTGATTTAATTTTATACAAGTCAAACTACACATTGTATAAAGAGTACAAGGCAGTTCTAATGTTTGCTATTGCATGTTACAAAAACCAATTTAGCTATAAAGGGAAATCTTGGGGATGAACTCTATTCCACAATTTAAGTGAAGTGGCAATTGTGGTTTAGCAAAGCCTTTGTTAAGACTAGAACTCTAGCTCCAATAGATTACATTTCCAATAAAGTTCAGGTTCACACACAACAGGACTGTAACTCTCCTGTTCTGAAGCAAAACCATGTTAACATAAATGATTTAATGGGGAGGGAAGACAGTTTTACTTAGTTTTCATATCCAATAGATATTTAGAGGCTGACAAACCATACAAGATACTAGTGACCTGGACCACATTCAAGAGACACATTTAGTGTCTGACAGAGTGTCACTTGATATTCAAGCAAAAATGTCACAAAGCTTTCATTCTTTAAACTTTGTAATCTGTGATTTTCAGCAATACTGTTTGACATAGTCTACAGAGTACCTTTATTACCTTCAATACAGTCACAGTATGGGGAAGTGTTCTTTTGGCAAGCTGAGTTAAGATACAGCACAAGTGCTCCAACTGGAGTTTATTGCTGGTCTAAAATTTGCCTAGTTTTGTTACACTTTTATATAGTTTGTAGCCTGCTATCACAAACTAAGATAAACCGGAGAATTACGTGACCTGTCCAGCAAGGCAATCCTGCCTTTGGTAGCAAGCTGAAACCTACTAAGCTAACAATACCCATAGTTCTAAAACCATGAAAAAATAGGAAAAATGATACTTCCAAAAAAGCCCAGATTTAAGCCTCCTATATTATTTATTTTTAATATAAAAACCATGTTGCACTGAAGAGTAGGTAAGTTACCCCTGCTGAAATGCTATAAAATCAAACTTGGCTGTATTTCTACAAAAGGGGGCCTTTCCTGCTTTGTACCACCACTTCCATACAACTTAACCTGTTTGAATCTGGGATACAAATCAAACCCTTATGCCTCATTACTTAGTTCTTAGGCCATTCACTCCTTCAAGAGAAGAAACCAACTTCTGAAGTACTAACGTAACACTAATGGCCTGACAAGTAGGAAAGTGTTCCATAGTAAGTGTGCAACATAAGAGGAGAGTTCTAGTCTTAATCTCTTGAACTAGATCTTGATCGTGAGCGAGATTTTGAACGAGATCTGGAGCGGGACCTCGATGCAGCTCTTTTGGGTGGTGACTCTGAACGAGCCTTGGCAGATGGTTGCTGCTGTGGAGAATTGGAACGAGACCTACTCCTTGACCTGGATTTAGATTTAGCATCTCCTTTACCATTTTCTTTGGGAGAGCGAGACCTGGACCTGGACCTGGACCGAGACTTCTCAGACTTCTCCTTGGATCTGCTGTGGGAGCGTGAACCCCTGTCAGACTTGGGTTTTGACTTGCTCTTTGATCTAGATTTCCTGCTTTTTGATCTGGAACGTGAGCGGTCTTTACTTCGTGACCTAGATTTAGAGCTTTCAAGAAAAAAAATAGTGTTTTATTCTGCATGAACTGAAGTATACTTGCAGTAGCTGTAAATAGTTACTAACAAGCAGTTATTCCTGCACTATCAGGAAACAATCATCACTCACCGCGAACGGCTTTTGGAGACACTACGAGACCTGCTACGGCTGCTTCGACTCCTACGACTTCTGCTTCTGGAGCGCCTTCTAGATCGAGACCTAGAAACATTCCAAATGGAATTATCCTTTTTTCTTAGTCTGGTATAGCTTGCTAGACCTTCCAACAGAAAACGTGTTCATAACCTTCCAGAACAAGTATAGCTACATCGAGACAACATCGATTCACTTGCACTCAATGCAGCGTGTCAGCAAACTGAATCTGATGCTTCAGAAAGTTAAATATGTTTTCAGTTTTACATTCCTTCCAAATTCCCAGAGACCACCCTATTCATAAGGCAGTGACTAACAATAATTTATTTTTTATATATATAAAAGTTTATATATATATATATATAAAAAAAGTAGTTGGTGTATGTATATATATATATCAGCTACTCTTCTCACTGTAAGCTGTCTTGATGAGTCGACCAACATCCCCAAATTTACCTGGACCTACTGCCAGAGTAAGATCGCCTATGGCTTGATCGTGGTTTATCTTCAACCAGTCTTATCTTTCTTCCATTTATCTCTGTGCCATCCAGTTTGTCCAGGGCACGCTTCATATCCGAGTAGGAGCGGAACTCAATTACTCCTTCATTTGTACGCTCTTTGTGGGCATCTGCATAGGTTACCTCACCAGCTTGTCTCATGAAATCCTTTAGAGAGATTATATGAAGAGTTACATAATTATCTCACATTTATGCCCACAAGATTAAGACAAGCTTGAAAAAAGGTAAGGAAACAAGTTGCATGAAGTCACATGCAAACATTTTAAACAATTCTACCTAAAACACAATAGGTATTTCTATTTCTGCTAATCACAATGGGCTCTGTAATAGAACATTAATACATACTTTTAAATCCTGCCAACTACAGCGACTGGAAAGGTTTTCAACAATCAGTCTGTACTCTGTACGAACAGGTGGTCCATATTTATCTCTTCCAGATTGTCTCCGACTGCTATATCCGCCACCACCCCCACCTTTATTGTACAAAGAAATAAAGTTAGATCGTCTCCTAGCAAGAAGGAAATAAAACGTTCTGAAAAAGTTAGTTAAACAGTTATATTTACTGGAGTAGGACTTTTATTTCTCTAAGCCTCCAATAAACTTGCAATTTTGCCATAATCTATATTAATGGCAAATTATACAGACTAATATCCTACAAGTCTGTGCTCCTAAGATCTGTTAGAGAGTGACTGCTCCTTATTAGATTCACCTTGCTAAGTTTTATTTTACAGAACATTGTAAAATATAAAACTTAACTGATTACATGCATTTCTACAATTTACAAAAACGTTTACTAGTTACACTAAGTACTTACATCACAGTATGAGGTTTTTGGTGGTGGTTTGGCCACAAAACACGCAAGGTAACAGTCACCTAGTTCAGTTTAAACAGTTTTGTCTAACCCTTGGAATCCTCACCATCACCCTGCGTCTAATGGCAAAAGGCTGCTGTCGTCATGGCTTCCGGTAAGGTCAGCCAAAGGGTCATAGGGCAAGGGTCACACAATGTATGGAAAAGCCATGGCCAATCAGGAAAGGCAGTCATCTTAGCCTCAGTGGACACAGCCTCAGCCCCACTGGTCACTTTTAAATTGAAACATCAAGGACTTGTTAAAAAGTTGGAATTGAACATGCAACAATTTTAAACAACATACATTTGATTAGAAATAAAAAAAAAGATTCCCATCCCACCCAAAACCAAGATTCTAAAGATTACTAAAAGATGAACCTTAGTACTTAAACTACAGTACTAGGTCAGTTAACTTCCACATAGCTCAGCTCAAGTAACTATACAAATAAACTGAATACATAGTAATGCTTGTAACATCCCCCCACTCAGCACACACTCCTGCTTAAAATCCTCCCCCACCCATTGCTTAATTCTGTATATTCAACTGAAATAATTTTTCACATATAATTTCACAACTGAGTGCTTTTCTCCCGATTCTATATTTGTGGCGATAGTGGCTACTAACTAGCTTTAGTGATGCAACGCCACTGTTTCATCTAAAAACTCTTAAGAACTCTGAAACTTTTAAATAGAGCAGAGCATATCCTCCAATTAACAACAAAACCCCTTTCTCGAGCAAGACCCCAGTTTTTGCAGCTAGAATTGCTTCAATTTCGCACTCAGATTTCTTAGAGGATATCAGGGTGCAATGTCGGTGCTGGAAGAAGTGCCATACCGCAAACTCGGCATACCGCCTGCCCCCAACAGTGCACCAGTTATCCTCTAACTCCTCGCTTGCCGAGATAGCGGCTCCCACCCCACAGCACCACGGCACTCGCCCCCTTGCACCCTGCCAGCCCTGCCTCTGCCCTGCCAAAGCCGAGCCGCCCCCTTCCTCCCCCCATCCCTGCCCCCCTGCCGCCCCCCTGCCCAAGCAGCCCTATAACCAAGCAGGAAGACGGAGCCGTACTCACTGCGACTACTGTAGCTGTAGCCGTCCCTGTCGCGGCGCGGGCCGCGGGCGTGCTCCACGATCACCCGCTCCCCACACAGATCCTTGCCGTTCAGCTCGTAAACGGCATCATCGGCGTCTCGGGAGTCCTCGAACTCCACGAAGCCGTAACTGCGACGAGACGGGCGGCCCCCTGAGCCACGAGGCGCCGCGAGCAGGGTGGAGACGACTCGGGCGGCTCCTCCCGCTGCCCGGGGGCAGGAGCGGGCAGCGCCGCCCGCGCCGGGACAATAGGGCCGGCCCCGCCGCAGCGCCCCCGCACCCCCCGCGCCGCCGCCATTTTGAGTCGGGCGCCACGCGGCAGGAGCCGCCGACAACATGGGGGGCGCCGCGGGGGAGGGGAACGGGCGGCCGGGCGCGGCCGCGCAGGGCACGGCGCCGCGGCGCCCGCCGCGCGGGACTCGCTACGCGCGCCTCGCACGGACGCTCACCCGTTTTTGAGGTCGACTTCGAGCAGTCGGCCATAGCCGCTGAAAAAGCGCTGGATGTCCTTCTCCCGGACGTGGTAGCTCAGGCGGCCGATGTAGACGCGCGGCATGTCCGGAGGGGGAGGGGGGGAGGGAGAGAGGAGGGAAAGGAAGAGAAAGAAAGGGGAGGAGAAGGGGAGAGAGATGAGGAGGAGGAGGAGAAGAGAGAGAGGAGGAGCGGCACGAGAGGCGCGGAGGCCAGTGCCGCAAGAGCCGCACACACCAACCGAGCTTCGACCTGCTCCGCAGCACAATGGCGCCCAACGCCCGCGCGGCCTTTTATAGCAGGGGGCGGGCCCCTGGCGGGGACGTCATGACGAAGGGGCGGCGGGCCAGGGCGACGCGGCTCCGTGCGTCATCACGCTGCCTCGAGCGGGCGGGGGAGGGGAGGAGGCGGGGAGGCGGCGCGGGCCGCGCGCATGCGGGGAGCGCGAGTGGCGCGCTCGCGAGGGGCCGGCGCTCTGCGCGTGCGCGGGGCGCCT